AAAGCTAAACCAAATGTTTGCATCAAGATCTAACACAGCTCATGGGGAGGAAACTGTGAGTCATTTTCTGCTCCCTGCATGGCCAAATAGATTAATATATTAAAGTTTGCTGATTTTCATATTCATTCCTCTACCACTATTCAGACCCTAAATACAGCTGTAAAGCCAGGTGAGACTTTTCCCCTCTGTATTTCCCAAGGTGTCTCACAGTTACTCCTCTAACTGACACTGCTCTGCTTCACGTGCAGGAGACGGAGAATTATCATGGGAACATTCTGATGGAGATATCTTCCGGCAGCCGGCCAACAGGGAAGCTGTAAGTGGGACCTACAATTTAAAGACATATTTTCTTGCTGTGCTGTGCATGACAGTGCATTGGGGGAAAAAGAGAAAAGGATGATAACAGGTCTGAATACCTATTGTTTCATCCTGGGTTCTGTGAATCTAGCCCAAAATAGGTTTCTTCCACTCAACCTGAATTCATGAATCCTGCTGAATTATAAACTCCCATGAGCTCCTGTGTATTCTGGATTTGGTCTTTGTTGTATATGCTCTATAAGAATAAAATTCAACAGCATTTTGTTTGCTATTCAAGCATTGTTTTTAAGTCATAATTGCAAACACTTCCTTCCCAGTTTACATACATATATATGTATTTACTCTAGGGGCTTCATTATCTGTGGGGCTAAGAGTTTCCATTAACAACTTACTCCTCAAGAAATAATTTTTATAACAGCATTTGGAGAGAATCTGAAAACCTTTTGAGCACTACCCAAATACATGAACCAACAGGTCTTTAGATGAGTGGGAAGAACCATGCCTGATAAAAGGAGTGCTATAATCTACACTATTCCTTCAGGTCCATGGCTATTTTGAAAAATGATTCTCTGAAAACAGTGTTTTTGCTCTAGAAAGCATTCTGTGCACTACTACTACTACTACTACTGCTACTGCTGCTGCTGCTGCTGCTGCTGCTGCTGCTTTCCTTTGCAAATGGAATGAGATTTCCTAGTCTGTAAAACACATTCTAGTAAGGCTCTGCTCAGGCTGTGCAAGGCTAACTTGGGCCTTGCATGACAGTTTCAAGCTGCAAGCAAAAAAGAATCTGGGCAGTCATTTTGGATGTGCTCTGCCACTGGAGCCACAGTAGAAAGAAATTTTTATGAAGAAAACTAGACAGGCTTAAAATTCTTCTCATCTGCTCTTAAAGTAGAGTAGAAATCAGTAAAGTAGATACCTAGCTCTGAACACCATTTTGAATAAATGGAGCAAAATAGGCACATCTGGGTTGTGGTTCTTCTTATGCTCTAGAGATCCACACCAGCTCAAGTTCTAAAACTGCCTCTCTGTCCATTGACAGTTAGGGACTTCAGATGACCAACTCAGATAAAGACACCTACATTGACATACAAGACTGGTGAGATGAGTTAGATCTGCACGTGTGGTTAATGATGTCTGATGAGAGTGGCCACACTTGTTGCCTGTGTTAAGCCCCTAGTACAGCCCCTTTCCCCATGTTCATTGGAACGAGACATTTACTTTCCTGCTCTCTTTCTGTCCCCAAACAGAGACACTCATACCATCGCTCCCACTACGACCTGTCACCGGGCTCTGTGAGGCAGGTAGTCAATATTCCACGATTTCCCAATGCCAGGAGTAACCGTGGAGTCCTGCCGGACCCCCAGCAAGCCTCAGGCACAATAGTACAAATCGTCATCAACAACAAGCATAAGCACGGACGAGGTAAAGACAAGTACTTCTTACAGTATTGCTCTGGGTCAGGAATCAATCACCTACAGCTCAGAGAGACTTCTCAAAATATCCAGCAGAATCTTGGGGATTCACACTGGTATCAAGAAAGCCAGTGCAAATCAGGGAGGCAGAAAGCAATCAGCTATTCAGGGTATGAAATTCCCTCTGGAGCGAGATCAATTCTGCCTGCACAGACAACAGTGCATTTCTCTCTGCAAAGGCACCACACAACTGTGTTGCTCTCTGAGTTACTTTGTGGGATTGTGCTCCACAATTCTGAGAACTCATGCAGTGTTTACCAGGGGAGTGAGTGCTTTGTGCCACAGAGGACACCACGATGCCTTTAGATTCAACAACTTGTTCACACAGTGGCTCGTCCCATAGGAAACTGTTCATGGTTATTTTCTTTACACTCTGTCTTATTTTGTAACTTTACTGGTCATAAACAGCTTATATTTAAACTGCCCTAAAAAACTCAGACCGTAAAGTATCAGGGGGTTTTCTGCCTCCAAGGATTAGCAAATTATGCTTATGAAAGATAGTATCATGTCTTCCCCCACCTGAAACTTCTTGCCTGACACAGTGGGATGGAAGGGGTGCTTTTTGTCCCCCATAACTGATATAAGAGGCAGAGCAGGCAATTAGCCTGTACTTGATGCCTGAGCTGTGAAAAGGCAAATCTAACCAAGGTAATGAATCTCACTCTAAGAATCCTTTATTGCCCTCTGCTAATAGAATATAGGACATACTACGTTATGTGGACAGCAGAATTTTGAGCCCATATGGCAAACCATATTCAAGTTATATTCCTCATGCACTAGAGGAAGGACAAAAATAAAGGGAAAATACCAATTCACCAGTTAGTGGGGCAGCAGGTTTTGTACAATAAAAAGGGTGGGATGCTCAGTTCCCACAGTGGGTGTACCTTGGAGAACAGAGGTTTGCAGGAACAGGTCTAGGAAGACATAAAAAAAAATAACTGTACAAACACATGCTCAAAAGAGCATCTATCCACAAATACCAGTCAGTGTGCACTTAGAAACTATCCACAAAGAGTTAAAAGCCCTTGTATTAGGGCCAACTAATCTTTTAAGGTATTAACTAACAGAAGGAATGTTGGCTATAGGATCTTTGTTATCCACCTGAACAAGCATGAAAAAACATTCAGATCATGCCAGTGTTTTATGCTGAATCTAGGAGCAGGAATCTCCAGGCAGGGCAATGTCTTTGACATGTAATTCACACATGAAGACATCATCAAAGCAGTTTCTAACTGACTTGTTTCAGCAAATAAAGAGCATACAGACGAATAGCATAGTTCTGGATGCAGCATAATTTCAGACACTCACTGCCTGGAGAGTGTCTGAGAGATCCCCATGATGGAAACAGGAATGCTGACCACATGTTTTCTTTTGTTCCTGTGCAATTAACAAGTGTTCTATTAATTAATGCACATGCCCCTTGAGACGCATTTCAACAAGTTAAAAAATAAACACACAACAACTCTCCTGACGTGGAAATACTGTGTAGTTGTGGGGATACAGATTTACCATTCTGAACATGAAAAGCACTAAAAACAGGGTATCAGGGAACCAGGAGTTATTTGCTGTATTTTGTTTTCTACTAGAGGCTTCATCTTCTCCCTTAGAGTAATTATTTAACTGTTCTGTGCTAAACAACCCTTAGAAACAGAAAATATGTATCACACAATGTCCTGTATTGTCCCTTCACCTGTCAGGGAGAAATCATGGAGTATTTATGTCCATAAAGGATCTGGAGAACTCTGGATGGGGAAAAAAATCCCTATAAGCATAGATATAACTAATAATATGATATTTGAGCATGTAAGAAGCCTGCTGAGCAGCTGAGTACTTACCGTTTTTCTCATTTATAGTTTTTTTCTCCCATGTTCTTAGTACACAGATAAAACATGGCTTTTTTTTTGAGAAACAAATTGTTTCCTACCTCTAAAATAAAACCATGTCTTAAGAAAGAGTTAAAAAGTAGCAATTTAGAAACCAAATGATAGCATAACCCCATGAAAGAAAATACATTGCAAAAAACACTCCCCATAAATCTCAGTAACTCAGTAAAGTATAAGGCAGTTGGTTACATCTGTTACCAGTTAGATATAAATTTCAGATTACAGATAAAAATTAAATTGCTTTTGAAAGTTACAGGCAAAATTGGAACATATTTTACAAATAAAAACATTAATAAAAATGATGGCATATTAGAAGAATTGGAAATATTTACAACATATCCCAGCTTCACTTCAGTTGCTTTTAGAAATCAGGCTGTGTCCTTTATTTCACCTTGTTAGGATTAGTTTGCATTTTTCTTTGTGTTTATAAAATATTTAAAAATAAAGAAGTAGGGTTTATAGGACAAATGCAAACATGGTGTAAAGTGATATAATTCCCATCAACTGCTGGGTGACCCAAAGTGGCTTCTACCAGGCATATATTTTTCCACTCTCCTTGTGTCAGCTGTATTTCTCTGACTCCCAAGGGCTCTGATGAATAAATATTCTGAGGCTCTTAGATGCCATTAGAATGAAATTTCAGTCCCATATGCATCCTTTCATGTTAATGTTTTCTTGTGATTCCAAAAGCCAAATGGCTCTATATACCTATAGACATATATATTTCCACAAAGGACATTAAACTTCATTTTGCAACATTCCCTTGCTTTGTTCTGTGTGTTATGTAGCAGAACTCTCATGCAAAAGCAATAAAAGGCCCAGGTGGCACTAATCCATCCTGCTGATAGCATGGCTCTCTTCAGCTATGGCTGAAGCTGTGTAGATGACTCAGTAGCAAATAACATGATTCTGTCATCTGAAAATTCAATTCCAGCAGCCAGAGCCACTGTAGCAGGCTGTGTCCTGTGTGTGGACTGAGATTAGGAGGGGAAGGAGGAGTGAGTTTTATGAGCTGGTTAATGGTGCACAACTGAAATGCACGGGGGGGTGAGCCAGTCAGATACTTGACTCAGCCACCTTCACTGTTTTCCTCAAAACAGCAATGGACATCACCATCAGCAGAGTTGAAATCAAGGCAAAACTGCTCAGAAAAGGGTGATAACAGGCTCAGACTCATTTTAAGTAACAAAACTCCAGTTTTAAAATTACCAAGCAGAGAAATGAGCCAGACACTAACAGATGACATATGGAGACACTGCTTTAAACAAATGTGCATGAATCAAACAAATGTGTATAGAGAGGTAGGCAGTGAACATACCTTTTCCAGTTGTACTTTTTCTTCTTTTTGTTTTCTTTCGTAGTTTGTGTTTCAAATGGCAAAACCTACTCTCATGGTGAATCTTGGCATCCTAATCTCCGGGCCTTTGGAATCGTAGAGTGTGTGTTGTGCACCTGCAACATCACCAAACAAGAATGTAAGAAAATTCACTGTCCAGAACAATATCCCTGCAAATACCCTCAGAAAGTAGAAGGAAAATGCTGTAAAGTCTGTCCAGGTAAAACAAAGTTGATCACAGACCATCTTTTTGCTGTGCATGTTAAGGGGCTTGGCTCAAGCCTTCCGGTCACAATAACTCTGATGCAAACAGCAGGAGCTGTGCCCGTTCTGAGGTGTGTGAGAAGTCTCACTGGGGGACAGGCAGAGCTGCCTGGCCAGCTCTGCTCTCACTGCTGCTCCTCAAACAGGGGCCATGCTGCCTGGCACATGTGTTCTGATCAGTCACTGCCTTTCTTTCTGCTGTTAGCACGACTTCCTAGAGCTCATTTCCAAAGAGAGTATTGCAGAAATGTATACAGAAAGTTCATTACTGTCATAAGACTCCCGTCCTTCCCCCACCACAGTGCCCACAGAACTTTCAAATCATTTTATAGCTTGTGAAATTTGTGTGGAGATAACATCATTTCTGCTTTTTAAAACGTACCAGAAGGATTCAAAACTCTAATTGGTGTCAGTTACGTAACTTAACCCATAAAATAAATACTAGCTTATCACAGATTTAGCACTGTGTCTTTTCTGCACTAATGATAAAACTTATGTAGACATTACTAAAATAAATGCCTACAGCCAGTGAAAAACCTGCTAACAGGAATCTGCTGAGGGTCTGCCAAATGACCAGCCATGTTGCATGTGATACAAAGGGTAAAGGAGTGTCCAGTTCCCTTATGTGCCTTTAAACTTCTTCTCTAATCTGTACAGCCCATTTCTGTTTGTTTGCTGATGCACTGGGCAGAAATGCTCAGCCATATATTGAATGCACACTTCCCATCTTTTGCTGGCCTTGCTTACTGGGGAAAAAAGCAATGCCAGTAGGCAGGCAGGAGATGTGTTATCTAGAGCTTTTGGAAGCAGAGATCTGCAGCTTTCAGTAGAAGAACATCCAACAAAACCTGGCTAACAGGCTTCAACTGAAAATTTAATGGCAAAAAGAAAGTTACTGTCTTGTTCTTTGAGATTCTGTGTGCCCATTTTAAAGAAAGCTGAATCTCTTCCTGCTGTCTGTCTTGTATGTGTGGAGAATTATTAGGTGTTTCCACAAACAGAAGTCTAAGCCTCTGAGTTGCATCATCTCTCTTACATTCTTGTCCAACTTCCAATTGCAAACAGAATAATTACAATTTCTGCTTATATGCTCTACAACTTTACCAGGTGGGCAAAAGATAATGTGCCCTGTGGCTAGCCCAGGCTTGCACTGGCCAGCTGGCTGCTGCTGAGCAAAGTGCAAACCTCCTGGATTCTGCCTGCCCTTCTCTTCAGCAAAGCATGAATTTGGTTTCCTTCACTCTGACCAACCACCAATTTTCATTTAGTTATTACCTCTGAGATTTCTGCCATTATTTCAAATATTCTTGAAAAGGGGACAACAGATTTAAAAATTGTGAGGAGTCTCCCAGACCACATGGTGTTATAGCTCGTTTCCTTAAGAGACTGGATTATAACTATGAATACTGTCTTGCCTCCATGAACAGGCCACCAGAACCAGAACAGAACACTGGTAAGTGTCTGGGGCTTAGCTGGAGATGGATTTGAGTGGCCATACAAATGAAAATTCTACTTTTAAGCTAAACCTGCTTGGCTATTGGTGCCAAGTAAGTTCTGGAGGACTCGATTACAGCTGTAGTAGGTGTTTTGTGCTTTTTTTTTCTTTAACAGAAGATGTGCCAAGTCAAACCTTTGACAACAAAGATTACTTCTGTGGGAAAGAGACATTTCCTGTCTATGAATCCGTTTTCACAGAAGAAGGAGAAACCATCAGGAAAATTGCAATAGAGATTGAAAAGCCACCTCAGATAGAAATACATGTGTGGACAATTAGAAAAGGTGAGTTGAACAAGTTCTTTCTTTAAACAGTGTATAATCTGCCATTAAAATCCCAGAATAGTTTAGAGATCCAAACATTTTGAGACTGCTGTTCTTCTGGCTCTTTAGGATATCACTGTTACAGCCACTTCCAACACAGACAAGTTTTGCTGAATAAAACCCACTAGAAACACACAAAGCTGTAGTTCTGCAAACTCTTACCCTTCATTGGGAGCAAAGACACAATGACAAACAGGTTGTCAGCAATATTCTGTGTAATTTATTTCAGAGAAATGAGTTTGAACCAAGTGCCTGGAGGCTCTTATATAGGATGGACCAAAAAGCTTTCCATTGAAATCAGTCTATCCTGTCTGTCGTAGTGATGCTACATCCATGATGGCCTAGAATATGGGCCAAAAATGTGTTAAGGATGGAAACAATATCTTTTACTAGACTAACTGGTAAAATTAGAACAAAATAGAAAAGTATCGAGAAGCACTGGTGCAAATCATGAACTTTCAGTGTAATAAAAATTATCTTCAGCCTCCTAAAAATCAAATCTACTTAATCTATTTTGAATCCTCCCATAGTGCAGCCCTGTACATGGAAATGATACATCTCTAGAATGTGCTTTAAAGCAGAAACCTAAGGCCAAAGTGGGAGCAGAAAAGAAGTCACAGAACATTGGATGGTTCACACGTACCATGAGTGTTCAAGAAGCCACAAAGCCTCATAATGATTTGACAGTGGTGTTGTGTGCTGGCTCATGACAGGCAAAATGGTATCTGCAAAATGATACTGTTTTTCTCCAAGACACTGGGATTTTTGGCTTCTCTTGTAATCTTACATTTATGCATAATAAGGAAAGATTCAGCTATTTTGGAAAAGAATTGGCTGATTCTCACACCCCTCACAATCCATGGAAAGATTTACAAGGGAGTAGCAAAAAAATGGGTGGGGGAGGTTGGAAAACAGAATAAAAAAGAAAGAATAGTCTGAAAATTTTACAAAAAGGCAGGTTTAGAACAACGGGCACATTTCCAGTAACATGCATTTCTCATTTCTTTGCTGAAGGGATTCTGCGCCACTTCTATGTTGAAAAAGTGTCCAAAAGAGAATTTGAAGAACTTCCTTACTTCAAGCTGATAACAAGGACAACGCTTAGTAAGTAAAATTCTGACCTCTTGAGGTTTCTACTCTTCATATTATCATAGCAGTGAAAAACATTCTCTGTTACTCAACACAGTGAAATGGATGTACTAACTTTTCCTCCTCGATTTCTTCTTTGTATTTCATCGAGTTTGGGATTTTGATAGTAGTTGGCAACTAGTAATTCAGCTGATTTAACATACAGATATTTTAAGATACAGATATTTTTATTTCCTAGTTCTTTTGCATTATAACTTGTAATTTTTTCTACAATTTTTTTTCTAATTAAGAAGTCTTTTTCCCAGGGATAATATATTCTTAATAATATAGGCCTATTGAGATACAGTAATCTTTTCATAGAAGTTCCGTAATTTTTTGCTGTCAGCCTTCCTTAGTTTGCCATTGTTATCTGTAATGTAGTATTCTAGTTATCAGGACAGCATGCATTCATATCAAAATTATCAAAAATGTTAATTACAGAGTTCATAGCACATAAACACTTAGATGTGTTGTTTCCCACTTCCAAATACTTTGGTTTGCCAGGATATCCATTGTCATAAGTGGTTGAATAAACAGAGCCAACTTACAGGACTACTTAATTAAAGAAAATAATAATAATATTCTGGTCCTTGTTTATCATTTTTAATAAGGTTATTTTTCATGGAATATGTTACGTGATTGTAAGATACTTCGAATATTTTCCATGGGAGGACTGGACATTCCCTCTTTGACTATTGTGAATCAGTTGGTTTGCAGAGTGCTTATAAATGTCTTCAAAGTTCCCTGTGCCCTTTTCTAAGTCAGTATCTGTCTCCTTTGTGTTTTTGTTTTCAGGCCAGTGGAAAATATTTAGCGAGGGAGAAGCTCAGATCAGCCAAATGTGTGAAAGCAGAGTGTGCAGGACTGAGCTCGAGGATTTGGTAAAGGTTTTGTACCTTGAAAAGTCTGAAAAGGGTCACTGTTAAGGGAGACAGCACTGGAGGGAAAAACACAAGAAAACTTATGAAAACTTGGATCTGCAGCTGGACTGCAGGCTTATTTTGCTTAAGTCAACAGTTGCCCTAAAACCCCAAACTATAATGCAGTAATTATTCACATCATGCACAGCAAATTTGCTGCTTTATGTGTAGTGGTCTGTGTCAACCATTCAAATATCTCCTCCAAAAGACTAGGAGGCTCTGTATTACTGGTGGGGGAAGGAGAAAGAGAGACTGTGCTTTCCCAGAGTTGCATTTCTTTATGAGTTAAAAAGAGAAAACAGAACATTATTATTACTATTATTATTTGGCAAATTATTCAAACTATTGAAAAGAAGGACACCTAATAAATGTGCAGGAGTTATAGAGAGCATTATTTCCTGTGCTAAATTTATACCATTTCTGGTGTTGAAATGACTCATGGATTTCTCTTAGTAGTGGAGGAAAAATACAAGTGATACAATACTTGTGCTGGAACATAAAAAGCAGATTTAAACTAACAAACTCCTAAGCAGCCTGCCTTTGGGATGATGTCTTGTAGTTGAGCAAACAAAGTCCATAAACTGAACAGCAGGTGTTAGTGGCAATCACTGTATTTTTGTAGCAATTGGAGCAAATGTTCGCTTTTAAGTGGTTTTCACTGTTTCCTCCACCCACTTCTCTAAAAAATGTGAAGTTTAGCTCCCTATCACAGCCCTAATAACTTCATTATTCTGGGCCCTATTAACACATGGTCTTGGCTGATAAACCACCTTCTAAAGTGATGGGGCAGAAGGTAGTGAAGTATTAGCAGTGTTTTCAAAACACCTAGAGCGTTAAACCTCACAATTAATAACTCCTCAAAAGTTGTGACAGGGATTAATTTATTTGTTCTGATTTGTTACAAACCTAACCTTGGGCATTTTTCTGAGAATGACCTCTCACTTCTCACGCTTCAAGGACATCTCTCTGCCATGACAAACACTAAA